AAACCACCTGCAAATATGGCAGTCCCATGCACCTGGATATCTTGTACCTTCGCAGATATCCCCACTGCTCAATGGCATTCTCCCATCCAAACAATACTAGCAAATCAACAAAAGGGAGAAGGTGATAGAAGGTGTAAGTAATCAGCCATCCAAATCACTAGGGAAAAAGCACCACTTCACTCACTTCGCTCACTTCATCCACTCCCTACCCTATACATTTGGGTAGAACCCCAACACACACCGCGTCATTCTAAGGGTCCGAGCCAAGCACAGGGATCCCCATTTGAAAACTGGGCGGCTCTTTCCTGCCATCGACCGGGCTCAACCAGTCCACACGACCAGTGTCGTGCGGTCGACGGTGTCGGATGTGTATGGCGGAAGAGGCAGGGTGTCCCAGAGCCCCTTGTGTATCACACACCCCTTATCCCAGGCGAAGTCCTGGGTCTCATGATGTCTGATGTCCCAGAGGTTCTCGCCGAACCAGCGAGTCGGGAGGCTCCATGTCCGAAATGCAGATTCCACAAGATAGTAAATACAAGACCATCTGGCCGGTAGGTTACTCCCTGAAGGTGATCCATCTGGCTACTAAATCCAGTTTAAAAAAATTGTATCTCAATAGTTACCTATAGAGAGGAACACCTTGGCGGTATCCCCGGCCCACCAACAGAGGTGGCTCTGGAATCCTACAATTGGAATCGTGGAACATGCTGGAAGCCGCGTTGGGTTGCAGAGCTGTGTATCATGCGTGTGATTGCGTGTGGAAACCCATCCTGCTCAAGTCCTCTTTCATCCTCTGTCCAACAGCAAATCCAATCGGAGCGAGGCCACTGGTCAACAAACCAATTTAACACAGCCAACGGAATCACACACCTAAGGCAAACCCACAAAAGCGCTGAAAAAAGAAACATGTAATTACGGAACCTGTGTTTATACATGATCATGGTACCCCCACATGCCCCCACCCTTCTTCATACATCAGCTCTCTTAAGAAGGGTCCCCCCCTGCCACACACCGGCCACCAGCGCCGTCCTGGAACGCCACCAGCGCCGCAGCAGCAGCGCGGAGACGACCACCGTCGCGCCCACGGGCGCCAAGGTGTGGATCGGGCCCTGCCGAGCGGATCCGTGCCGCGCGACGTGACACGTCAAGTAGCGGCAGGGGAAGGGACACAAGAGCCAAACCGATGACCTACGAAACGTGTGAGGAGTGGGGCTGTAAGGGCCTTGAAAAGAAAAGCTTTTGAAGATCAGCGAGGTATGTAGGACCAAATGCCAAAGGTTTGAAGAGGAGTAAGGTCATGGATTTTAGCTCACTGAAGACATCATGGTGGAGCATGGTAGGTGGATCACAGTGGCTGGTGGATTTTCCCTGGTGTATTGACTGGCTCACTTGGAGATGGAATTGGAATTTAATCTATTGGCGATCAATTGAAGACTGGTGGACTTTTGTGGCCTTTCAGTCTATTTGATCGAAGATATGATGAGAATTGAAGCGAATGTTGGTGGTCAATCGGGCGAGTGTAACCAATGTAGCTATATATACCAATTCCAAACTCAGGCATATTCCTGCGAGTAGAACCTGAAAATGAACCGGAAGATTCTCTTCCTCATCATTTTCCTCCAACCCAGTGGAGTTCCGAGACCCGATGACTCAAGTTGGAGGCCTAGGCTGGTCGACGGTCGCGGGGAGTTCGGCCGCTACGGCCGAACCCGAAGACGTCCTGCCCGAAAGCGAATGCGAAAAGACACAGCAAAACCAAACCAATGGATGTATGTGCAGCAAAAGCTTTTGGGTCGATATGTTTTTAGTTTTGGTGACTAACAGCTAACACGAACATTAGGACAAAAATAAGATACTAGCACAAGATAGCAGTACAATATGAAAATGTATGTATATATATATATCATGAACCAAATGAACCAAATGCGTACTACCACAGTCCCCCCGTTCCTTCACTTCTACCCCACCCTGTTCCCCCACGGTCCCACCGGCCCCGCCTTCTCTTTCAGCGACATAGGGCGAGAACCGCTCCTGGCACCCGACGGTCGTTGCGTTGGGCGGTCGTTGGAGCCCAAAGAAGAAGGGATCTCATTTGGCGCGAAAGGAACAAGGCGGCGTTTCGGTGGATTTGTTTATAAGATGGTTATTATATTTGGTGAACGCCGATGGTGCGTGCAGTTCATGTGGATTTAGTATATCCCAGACGCTCCATGTATGCCATATATGCCAGCATTGACCCCCAAAACCACCCCAATGTAGTCATATATACAGCATACTGGAGTGTCTGGGTATAAGTGACAATCCCAGACTCCCTGATCAATCGGCACTCAACGGCCCGCAAAATTGGAGGATCTCTCATACGGAGACACATTTCATCAACAAACAATATGTATTAAGACTTCCGTCACATCCGGAAATCCTAACCAAAATCAACCAAAAAAAAACTGTTACTCATTGTTGTAAAGTCTGGAATCTAGATCACAAACCAGTTACCCATTGTTGTAAACACATAAAACCGGAGAAGAAAGCTACGGCTGCTGCAAAAATGCTACCTAATGATCCTATGTCGCAAAGAAAACTTTGCATTAACTTTGGATGACAAAAAGCACAACAAACACACAGAAAGGCTGCATGTTCAGAAACGAGACCATGTCATCTAGGGTCTCTTGCGAGCTCAACAAGCTCAACATTCAGTCGAAAATGCTCACATTCTCAATTTGATGACTGGGCACAAAAGTTGGAACATCACTGAAACCCGAAGGATGTTCCCAACCCCAGTCACTGTGGATCACAATCTATTATAAAATATAATACCTTCACCAAGAATCTTACCCACGTCTACGTGGCTCGAGTGTTGGGAGAATTCAAAAGAACATAGCAGCAGGACGAGCTCTAAAAAAAACACACTCAATTCCCCGGTGACCCATTCTACGCACACCACCGTGCACGGGCGTCCAAAAGAAAATGAAGAGCTCGGGCTCGCTCCTCTCAAAAGCACAAGGTGAGGAGCATGGGAAAACGCTTGGGCCAAAATTTCAGGAGCCACGCCATGCAACGTTACGAACCAGGCCGCGCTGCTGCAACCTCGTCCCCCCTCGTCACCCACCTCGGCGCCACGAACGCCACGAATGAAGTCAATGCGTCCACGTCCAGACCACATGCGTCGAGGTCTCGAAGCTTCGACCACGCAGCATGTGCGATGGAAAAAAAGAACACCTCCTGGTAATGTAGTGTAACGTAATGAGTAAAACAAAGGTGGTTCGGCAAAAGCCATGAACATAATGGTGGTTGGAAGCCTGGGGATAAGGTATACCTCCACATACAAACACTTCACCCCTATAGCCAAATATGACCTACTACATGACGCCAGTCATGGCGCCAAGTCTTGGAGCGTCTGGGATAGAGGAAGTTTTGGACCCGTCCGACCTTCCCCTAAGAATCGGATGTGAATTCTTCCGCCCAGCTCAGGTGACTATCCTTCCTTCAGTCGACCATCGTACTCCTTCAGTCACCACAGGAAACATGTCGTCGAAAACATCCGCTCGGCCGAAGGGAAAACACGACGCTTGGTTGTGAGAGCCTTCTGTTACGCCCAAAGGTTCAGAGTTTGGACCCTCACAAAAAGACTACGGCTTTTGGACCGAACATGATCGAAGGTTCCACATGTAGCGAACCGGAAGGTGGAAGGTATTTCTTTGCCAACAAAGGTTGAATGACCCTATAGACTATCCCATAGGTACCCCAGTAGGGTCCTAGTTCAGGTCACTTAACCTCTCTTGGTGTGAATGGACGTCCCTTGATGCTCCCAGCACGCCACGGTTGGCAGCCTACAGACGTGGCGTTCTGCCCTTCACACCTGACTGCAGAATGTCCAGTCCCCCTATAGTATGTGTCCGACCGTACTGAGACACTCACGACGCTTCCAAGAAATGAGAACGTCTCAAGATGGATCTTCAATTGAACCAAGATGAACCAATAACATGCAGAAAAAACAAACAAGCAAACAAACACAAACGCAAACATAGCACGACATACGACGTCATGGTCGTAGACCTTCAGTGCTGAAGGACCTTGCGCCCACCCCACGTCTGAAGGACCTGGCGCTGTTTACATCCCCCCTTCTGTCGGCGCGCGTGGCATGGCGTGGCGCCGGACCCAGTCTCACAGGACCCGTGAGCAGGACCGACCCGCGTTAGCGGGTCGATCACAGGTGGCGAAGTGGGTCGGGGTGACCGTCATCGATTCGCATTTGGAGAAGTGGCGTCATGTTTAGGGTGCAGTGTGCTGGGTGGTTGTCATATGTCTTCAGGTTTACCTTACGATGACTGTTTTGTGGTGTTTGAGATCACTTTAGAAGGAGCACACAATCAAGAAATGCTTCTCAACAAGAAAGAATGCAGCGGAAACTCGATGGATGATGACAATGACCCAATCGCCTCCGGAGTACGTCGCGTGCGGTCTCACGCGATAACGGGACCCAGCATGGTAGCAGGGTCTGTGCATTGAATTGCAGAGCCTTGGGAGTTTGGGACATCTTAGACTCTCAAGAGGATGAACGGCTTGTAAACAAGTTTGGTGATACCCAGCGGGTCAAGGACCCAATCACAGCAACTGCTACATGTTTCCGGTTCCTTCGGTTCCTCCGGTTTCTTGAGTCGTCGAACATCAATTGGCTATATCCCTATCAGCAACCAACAGAGGTTGAAGGACCCGAACGTTCGACTATCCCATATATTTGTACCCCCAGGTGACGGGTCCTAGTTCAGGTCACTGGATACCTCTCTTGGAATGACGAGGGGGTGAACCTGCCTGTGTCACCTTATTGAGTCTTTTGAGCAAGAGGGGCGGATCTGCCCTCATCTGCCCACCCGCAAAACAGGCTAGCTCGCTCGCTCGCCAGAGCTCGACAGCTGGGCAGAATGGAGCCACAAATAGGGTGTGTGACCGTTCTTGGAGCTAATGCTGGGCGATATTTTAAGATTTGTGACTTTAGAAAAGTTGCCAACAAACCGCGTGCTATTGCCGAGACTCCCAGGCTGTCTGACACATGTTGCCATCAGGCTCAGGGATAATCAGGGACTCGCATCTGTCGTCGCACCTGCAAAGATTCTACTTGATGCCGACGTTCTTGAATCAACGCGCATCAAACGCACGAGCGCAAAATATGTTCGTGTTTACAGGAACATCTATGGAGATGAAACTAGATGTTAAGTGCCAACGAAAAAATGGGATGATTTGAATCCTCGCGAAGTGTGTACACCCTAGGCTTCCAAGACCATTTAACAAATGGTTGACCTGGTTTTTATGGTGTAAGATCCTTAGTTGATTCGGGATGACCCGCCTATTCATGGTTGGCCAGGAAGCCTAGGGTACATAGGCTTACATCGTCTAAGTCCGGCTCACCTCCTCTAAGTCCCACATGTAAGTCCAGCTCCGAGTGCTCGCCAGCTCGGTCCCCGCTTCACCGACCTCAGACCTCAGACCTCCGGTGGTGGGCGGAGGCTTGCCATGGGGATGCCCCCGTTGCAGAGACGTTGGAGGTTGGAAGACTGGGAGGGAGATGAGATGGGTCACCTGGAGCGTGGACTACTTGGAATCGGGTGAAAAACCGGAGAGTTCGACTCCCATCTCCCATCATGTTGAGTGCTCTCGTTTGCTTGAATCGAACAAAACAGAGTTGTTTACGCATGGCACTGGTGAGCATCGCATATCGTGCTGTTTGGGCGAAGATATGCGAAGATGGCTATTTCATGGCAACCGGGTGACCAATGGTCAACCGCTTGGGGAACTGAAATGGCCTCCCTCCCCAGCTGACTCCTTCACCCTGGGGCTCCAGTCGTACCTGAGGCAGAAGGTATGACTGGACGCTCCAAGCCCACCCCAGTCCCACCTTCTGAGGAAGTACTTGGAGCCCTAGGGTCAGTGTCCCAAAATGGGCCGCCTCCCTGGCTCGTCGCCCACATCCAAAAGTGTTTTGTGCTTGGACTTGGTCAGTCTTCGGCCCCATGAGCGTGAGCACCCCGCGGCACACGAAACACACCAACTCTGCTTCACCTGGTATCCGGCTTCGTCGGCGTGCCGTTGGTGAAGTGGCACCTGTCCCGTTGTCCCGTCCCGTCCAAACGGCGAATGGGCGAAAAACGCCCGGTGTTCGGTGTTTCCTACGACCAGACTCAACAGGCAGGTGGGGCAGCGAGACTGTGCAGGTTCGCTGTAGTTTGGCAGACATCCTCTGGATCACATCTGTTTCTGGAATTCTGCAAGTCTTCGCCGCTCAGACAAGGTACAAGACATGTTCACCTTCCCAGTACTGTGCCAACTGGTGTAGCGTACACCTATATACTCCGAACTGCTATCAAGACACTTGTACACAGCTTCTCTATTGGCCCCGGCGTAATAATGATATCCCTGATGTTGCCCACTAACGAAGACAGAACAACCCAAGCTCTGGTGTGCGTGTCCTTCTTGGGTCTTCCTTGAAATCTATGTAATCCTCATGGACCAACTCGAATGTAGGAAAATATGACAACATATGACAACAAATACCTGTTTTTCCAATCCTTCTAATGTTCCACCTTCAACCCCCTCCGCCCTCCTCATCTCAAAAAATAGTAGATGCTGGATCTGAGAATCTGCCTTGACTGGTAGTCTTATACCGTCCAGTCACTGCGCCAGCTACACCTGAGTGGCCCGGGCATATCCATAGGACCCCGCATAGCCATACGCCGCCCGCCGGGAGCCCCGCCGGGGACTGGCCTCGGATCCGATCAGCTGTGAGGAACCCATGGGTTCCTGCCTCACCCGTTCCCGGTTCGGTGGACACATAGAGTCATAGACGGGTTTAGGTTTAGGGTAATCTGTTCATTTGACCTGGGGTCAACCAGGTGTCAGGAATCCTCTGTCATTGAACAGATTCCTCATCTGGGACACATAGACAGAACCGTGGGGGACTCTATGTGAACTACCTAGGGGTCCACCAGGAGACCACATGGAAGTTTGGTTTTGCTCTTTCGCACGCCATCGGCCGAAGCCTGTAGCCGCTGCATCTAATTACGAATTATTCTTTGCATTGTCGGTTCCCGTAATCGGCTCCCATGCCGGCGTCGAAGTCGAATCCGGCAAAAAGGGGCTGCACCTCATCTAAAAAGTAGAGGGCAGCTCTGGGGCCTCTTCCGGGAGAGACTGGCTGTCAGAAAGGACCTTTGCAAACACTGCACAAAGGAGGGCCGGGTACTCTTTGAGCACCGGTCTTACTGCTAGTCGTTGAAAAGATTTACTTCTGTTGCTGTCCCATCTCAGTGATCCGATGGACCAAACTGATGGCTCTCTTCGTCTGTACCCAAACGGTACGCCGTCTTCCTGCATGAGTGCGAAGGAAAATCTCCACATTCTGAAGAATTTCCGCTTCTTCCAACTTGTCAGCTAGAAGCACTTGAAACTGCTTTCTGTCTTGATCTTGCTTCTGTTCAATCTGCATCCATGCGCGATAGCCAGGATCAGTGCCGATCTTACCGCGAATCCACAAAACAGCGGAATCCGGTTCATTGCCAGCTTCAATCATTTGGAGCCACTTTACAGGAGAACAACCTTTCCAAGAATTCACAACGACGTGAACATCATCGTCTGGCCGTTCGGTGACAGTAAACGGAAATTTCCTGAGTTCTAGAAACATTCGAAGTTTGTCATAAATTACTCTGGATCCAGTGGCGACCAGCAACTTTGAAAATGCGGCGTCCACTCTGTTAAGAGCAAGCCTCAGATCCAATCCCTTAGGAATGAGTGAAGCATACCTCAAAGGGCACACGATGACTGATCTTTGTTCATTATCCTGCACCTCAAGAAGGGCGCTTTGGATGGCAAACGCCGCAAAAACGGGGTTGTGATAAAGACCTCCAGCCGTCGGAAGCGGGTCATCAGAATGTTTGCATCGTTCATGCAATGAAGTCCTCCAAGACAGCAATGCGAGCAGTCGCGTTTGCTCCAAAACGCTTCAATGCGGCATCATCGTCCAACGGGTTGTTGCGTATGTCCAGCAAAGATTTCTGAAATAAGTCCGCGGTCTTTTGCATCGTCCAAGACACGTGCAAGTGCCTTTCTTGATTCAATCAAAAGCGGTTCATCCAGTGACGAGAATGACAAAGAGAACATTTCCTCCAGATCTTTTGGCGAAGGCCGGGTCAGTTTGCGACAAGCAACAGAACGGAGGACGAAGTCTTCGACAGAAGGAGGATACTGCACAGTCAGCAGAGATCCCTTCTGTTCTTTCATTTTCCCGGCTGGTGAAGACAACCGGAAAGATTACACTCGGCGAAAAGCCTGCGTCTCGTTGTCAGAGCTCACCACAGCTTCGTTGTCCCCAATTGTGACGGCCCTCTTGACACGGATCGGTGCTTTGCCGCTTCCGTACGCCTTCTCTGCAGCCGAAAACGGTTCTTCAATGCTGATGACGAGGCGACAATTGAGAAATCCTGGCCAACTCCGGAGTAAAACATTTCTGCCAACTCTCTTGAAAGGATCAACTGTCGGAGGACAGTCCACGACGATCTCTGCATTCCTCATGAGCTCGAGGATGGCATTTCTTGGGATCATCTCCGAAAAGGGCTTGGAAAGCAGTGAATGAGAGCAGGTTCAACCGAAACGCTTTGGAGGCTAGGTTTGAAGGCCACTACCCAACCGTCTTTGGTCACTCTGAGATGAAATCCCCACGACCGCAAGTCCGCTGAAGAAGCAATGACTTCAGCCGTGTAAAATCCGGATCCCTTCTTCAAGAAGTTGTCAAGAGGGCTCTTTTTAAAAAGTAGACTCCGGTTCTTGTCATCGACGAAAGTCCACTTTCCACGATCAAGGGCAACGTATCTGAGAACGTCCCATGATAAAGAGGTTGTGTCTCTTCCAACGGTTCCAGCCAATCGAACGAAACTGGGTAACGATGCCCATGCTCCGCTCGAATCAAAGTTTTCATTCCAGAATTTCGAACCCACATGATCGACTGCCGACAACGTATCACGGCGTCGAAGAAAGGTCTTGGGCCCATCATTCCTTTCAAGTGCTCGGGATCCAATGCGCCATCCAAGTCTTCAAGGCCGTTCGTTTGCGGGTCATCAAGAAGTAGACTCATCAATTGCAGAGCCGCATCTTTGGGATGCATTCTGGCCTGGTTTTCGACAAGGAGCCTAAGCAGCTGTGAACGCAACGGCGACTCAGCCGGACATTGGGTAAGTACGAGATATCTGTTAACCATCTCCTGCTTTGTTCCGCTCCTTTGCATGGGGATTCCCGTTGCGATGGTTCTCCTAAATTCATTCCATGCTGCTTCGGACTGATCCACGATGCTGCAACGGACTGCATGAAGGGCGGTCAAGAAACTGTCAAATGAATCCAGCGGAAGACTTTGTTGTCCTTGGCATTCCCTGAAAAGAATTGCCCTCCGTTCATCAAGAGAGGATTGAACCAAAAGCGGAGGCAGCACACTACAATGTCCAGTTTCCTTTCCTTTCAGATACAGAGTTCGTAAAAAGTCAGTACTTGATTCGAAGGACTCAAATGCACTCCGGACATGAGCAAAACCTTCCGAGAGGAAGACAACATCGGATGCTGAACCTCTCAGTCTTCTCAGGACGTCATCGGTGTTCCAAATCCCATGAACTTTCAGTTCGGCTAGGATGAAATCCCCAATGGGATGTTCCCCTTTCGGCACTGGCACCGGAAACGTCGGTGCAAGGAGCTTTCCGAACCCGGTGCGGTTCCTCGACCCAATGAGGTTCATCCACTGGTTGGACTGATAAGATTCCCGCGCACACAAAAGTCGGTCTGCTTCCGTTGAAAGAAATCCGGCCTGCATTTGGACAGCCGAAATTTCATCGAACACGAACGGCACATTGTGTCCTCTCTAATGAAATGGGAGGTTTCGGAGAGTCTTCCCTCCTTTCACAAATTCCTCCTTGGACAGTAAGGGGGCTACATTCTGCAGATCCAGACACTTTCCGACGAGCTTTTCGACCTCAAGAGGGGGAAGGTCCTTGAGCTGTTCAGTCCCTTGTCCGCGCGAAAGAAGAAGGTCTGCTAATGCTCTCCCTGCAGGTGATGCAAACAGCCAAGGAACTGACGCAGACACCGCCATAACTTCTGTACAGCGCGACAAAGCTACCAACGTCCGAGCCGGACTCCGAAGGAAAGCGCCTGGAGTATAACGGGTAGTGCAAAGAATAACTGCTTGATGAGTTGTCCCTTGACAGGAATCAACGGTCTCCACTTTGGCATAAGGGAAGCGTTCAGTCAGCAGCTGTTTTTGAGCTTCATAGTAGCACAAGACAACCACATCTGCGCATCCCATCTCGCGGATTTCATCGATGCGCTTGCCCACCCAGACTTTTTCCTGTTCGGAAATCAATGAAGTCCCTTTCCGCTGCTCCTCTGCTTCTTTGATGATTCGGACGTGAAGCTTCAGATTCCAGTCTTCCTCCATAGACACGCGCAGAAAGAAATCTGCAAAGGTCTTTGGGAACTCGAAATTGAGTTGAAAGGAAAGCCATCGGGAAGGAAAGCGCTTCCAGAACAGTCAAAGCTCCTGCGAGTACGGTCGTCCGAGCAACTTTCGACGCAATCCGCACAGGTCCCAATTGTTTGGGGTCGCCGACCAAAACCAGCCGATGCAGTTTCGGCAGAAAATTAAGCAGAGTAAGCACCTGCAAACAAGTTGTCTGGCCAGCTTCGTCAAGAAATGCTTCTCGCACTGGCGTTTTGATGCGATGAACTGAATCCACAGTCGTCAAAAAGACCATTGAAGTTTGATCAGGTCGTTCCTCCAGGACGTTGCAGTGCGTAACACCCATTTCGGTCAATTTGGCAGAGAATTCAGTGACGAGATCTCTGGTCGGGGCTGCAGAAACGGTCCTCCTCATATGCTTAGAGAACGAACCGATAACATGAGCCAACAGGGTGGTCTTCCCTGTTCCGACTGCAGCAGAGACTCCATAGATCGACAAGTTCCCGTGGCACCCATTGAAGATCGCTTGCTGGGATTTACTCCACGTCTCAAGGACCTTGTCAGGCCGAAATCTGTTTCCTTCATTCACAGGAATACAAAAGGCGGCACCAAAGCCATAGTAATTGGATTCTTGCTCATCAAGCATTTCTTCAAAGCTTCAATTTGACGCAGTACCTTTCCACGGTTGATATCCGGGCAAATTTCAATCCCTTCGAACTCCTTTGTCAATTCAGAATATCTTCTCGGTTCCCAACTGCCATTGACCACAACCATGATTCTTTCTTCGTCCGAGTTCTGTCCAAACCGGAACCGGCGCTTCATCTGTGTGACGCTCCGGAAATCAGCCTCCATCTCATCTTTCAGGTCCGCAAGAGCCGTTGTGATGGTAAAAGCTTGCAGGCTCACCTGGCTCACCTCTTGAGGTCCTTCATTGACCAGGGCAAAAGGAAGTTTCCCTCTCATCATTCTTCCTTCAGCAACACTCGCAAGAACGTTCTCTGACGAAGAAGCCAGGAAAGAAAGTCCAGAGGCTCTGTTCTCAAGGAACCGTCCATATGGCAAGAACTCCAGTTCGGGGAAACATTTGCGCGCCAGAAGATGCGCCTCTTCAAGGACAGGTCTTCCGACGACAATAAAAGCGAATGATGGCTTGCTCCGGTCATAAGGAAATACAGGAAGGGAATCAGGAACCACTTCTGCATGGCAGAGCACGAAAAGCTCGCGCTTCTGGAAAGAAAAGCCCTTGAGGTCCTCATCGTACTTCAGTGTAGAAAACTTCTTCCCAGCCAGAAACCACTCTTTAAATTTGACATGCGTCGGATCTGACACTCCTTGGAGATTGCACTCGTCAGGGGCAATGCGACATTCCCATTTCTTGGATGAAGGCCCTATCTTGATGATGGCGAACGACCAAATAATTGCAATAAGAAAGATCAGGCAGAGTTGCGACCAAGCGTGTAGCCGCACGGCAATAGTCCTCCTCATCATCGAAAAAGGCTCCGTGCCGTGCAAACTCTCGGGCCACAACATTTTCAGCCAGAGGCACCATCCAAGCAGGAAGTAGGCGCTCACATTGGCCCTCGTCTAAATCAGCGGGCTCATTGGCAATCTGGTGCGCTGGGCTCAGCCATAATCCATGGAAAGAACATGGCTGACTTCTGGCCGCAAGATCTTTCGGAATGGACTGCCCAAATGGATCGGACGCCCAAATGACAACCTGCGGAGGATACAAAGCTGTAAGCGCCGTTTCAAAGCTTTGAGAACAGGGTAGTTGACGACGTAAGCCAAACAGCCTTTCAACCAGATCCGGAAGCATCAGGAGAGAAGCGTAGGGCTGTTCTATTGGCAACTCCTCATCAAAGGACTCATAGAGCCAGGCCAATTTGTCAAGAGGCCAATCCATATCTTCCAGAACGCGTACAACAACCTTATACTGAACTCTCGCCAAGCGTCTTCATCCGGAGCTGTCATCAACAGCTTCGACAGAAGAGCCGCTGGTCTGATCAGGTCCATCCGCTGCGGCCCATAACACTTGTCCGGGTAAACGAGCGACGGCCATTGGACGTTATCGTCCATCGAAAGCTTTGGAATAATCGTTTCATTAACCTTTTCCCATCGAATGCTCCTTTTGCAAAAGGGGGCTTCCACCATGGTTTGAAGATTGGAGGACGCTAACAATGTCCGGAGGCAGCAACCCATCTGTTGCGGAGCCAGTCAGGCGGTAGGAAGCAATTCTGATGCTGCCACTCTGTTGTCAGCCCTTCGCCACAAGGGCATCGGGCGAGAATCGGATACGTAATCGCGTCATCGCTCTTCAAGTCAATAGCGGACCGTCGGGCAAAGACGTTCGCCAAATCAGTTCTCCACTGCGGCGATCCTTTGGCCGCACTCGACATCCAAGCAGCGGGAGAGTAGTCCTCAGGCGGATTGACCAGCATCTCCTCCAGAACTCGAACTGCATACTCTTGATGCTTCCGGTCAAAGTCTTCTCTTTCCGGGGAGACTTCGACTGCAACAAACCGTACAAACGGCATGTGGGTTTCTGAATTGGAGGCTGCGTTTCTCGCTGGGTTCTGCGTGGTCCCGGAAGCAAGAGTTGACGGTTCCACGACTGAGTCCGTAGCATCCAGACCTTCCATCGCTTTCAGCCAAACAGCTTCTCGGAGTTCGCCTCCACCTCTTGTGAATGCCAACCGCCGGTTGTCAAAGCACATCGTTCCCTTTGAGGACGCGGATTCAGTCTGATGCCATAGATTCAGGAACACAAGAACCTCATCATCGGCATCCACGTTGTTTGTTACGACGGAAGATTGTGCTTCTTGAACTGCCCTTCCGGTGGACGCACGGCTGCGCGAATCGTTCCCTTTGAGATCATAGGACAGAGTCGGCAAATCCATGAACTGAGCCAAGACATTTTTCGGAACCTTCTGAAGATCGTCCACCGCAAACTTAAGTTCAGTACTGTCCCATCTTTCACTCTCAATTAGCTGTTTAAGCCTCGGATACCGGTAGATCCCTGACCGAAACAAACGCAAGTAGAGATGACGGACGGCGCCAGGAAAGAACGGATCGTCAAAAGTTGAAACGGTTGCGTTTGCCGAGGTCTTCTGCTCCTCCATGAGAGAATGGGTTAATGCTCTGCCTGCAACGATAGTCGGCAGCAACCCATACGTAAAAATACGGCAAGCGGCCAGTGAGGATCCTGCGAGATCAGTCTGTTGCTGAGCTGAAAAAATCGGAACAACTCCGTCCGGCAAGACTTCTTTAGATCTCGTTCCGACACAGAAAGTCTTGAGAGACTCCACTGCATACTGATCCCCATCTGCAGCATTCCTCAAAAGGGCTGCGAAGTAGACGGAGCTCTGACGCTTGGAAACGCCACGTCCGGCAGAAAAGCCGCCATGCTTGGTCAGTTCAAGTCCAAGGGCAGACAAGAACATCGGATCACCGGAGCGGTACCAATCAACAGCCAGCGTCAGATCCGCCAGCAGCTGCTCTCTGTTGAGAGCCGGCCATTCACACGCTGACCAGCCCTGGACGAAAGAGTCCAGATCCGAAAGCGTCGGCCGATACACCGCGCAAATTGAATGCGCGTGTTTCAGAAGGGCCAAAACCCGTGTCTTTTTGGACGCCTGAATTTTCGCAGCTTTAAAGGCCTTGTCGTAGAGGCGTTGAGGCAGTACGTCCACGGCAGCTTGCGTCACGATCCTGTCCACCGAAAATTCAACTTCATTTCCCGAACCATCAGATTGGCAGCGTGAGACCTCACTTCGTGAAATGCCAGAAAGCTCTTCATGTATAACGTGGCGAAAGCAGCAGATCACATAAGAACTCAAAAGTACGCTTGTTCAGGTCAGGATCAAGACCAGACTCCGCTTCGATGTATCCGGCCAGGAGGTCCTTAAACCGGCAGAATTGAACGGACAGGAAACGGATCAACGCTTCATTTTCGATCTGCGTTCCGGGAAAATCATTCCAAACCCTTTCCCAGAGATTCAATTTCAGCCGTTGGGTCCCAACGTCATCCTGGCTTGTTCGCTTTCGCCAGCGAATGCGGAGTTCATCCAAAGGCAGTTTGCAGCAAAGGAGCGGCAAAGTGACTCCAGCTACAATGTTAGTCAACACAACTCTGGGCTTCTTTTCCAAACTGTCGTAATATCTCACCAACAAACTCCTATAAAGGACGTCGTCAGAAATCCCTCTGTTAAAGCCTTCGATCCACATCGAGACATCTTGTGCCAAGTGACGCGGAGGATCGGCGAAGACCCGATCCAGATCGACAAAGTCATCATCTTCATCTGGGAATCCAAGGAAAGAGATTATCTGCTTCGCAGTGAAATGGAAATCATAAGGCAGACGGGCCGCGTAATCCCGGTAAACCTCCTCTAAGCTTTTTCGTGTTCTACAAGCAATACAAAGCAGGGCGCAAAGAGTAGATGTCCCACTTCCGGGAGCAAGTGCTACGACAGCGGAAGAGTGAAACGGGTTCGAGACGCTCGCTTCATCAGTAGAAGAAGCAACCGATCTCGTTTGAGACGGCTTCTTTCGCATCATCAATTCAACCCTTCTGAACCCTTCAAGCAGCTGTTCATGCTGCCGTTTGAGGTCCTGAAATTTCACAAAGGTCGACCGGAAAAATTGGATGTTACTAACCGCATGCACACCAGGCCAAGCGGCCCAAGCAACTACATGTTCAGCCAACCACAACGTCAGAAGGGTGAGAAATTTCCATCGAAGGAGGAATCCTCCGATCTCAGTAATCTCATTCCACATGGAAGTCTGAGAATTGACAGACCCGTGGTGGTTGAAGAGCCCGATTTGCCTTTTCGTTCCTTTTTTGCTCTTGCCTCATCCACTCCTGTCATCCTGTCGCTGATTCTCTTGTCTGCCTTTGTTCCTCCCACCCACAGCGAGTTCCAGTAACATATCAAACCCAAGCCGACAGTCCAACAGTGTGGAATAACCGCACCACTTAGTAGATTCCATCTGCTTTTACCAAGAGAGGTATCCAGTGACCTTATAGGACCAGTCACCTGGGGAATCTATAGGATAGTCGAACGTTCGGGTTCTGACCCACCTCTGTTGGTACCTTTTCTCTTGCTGACAATTCTCTTGCTGAATCACCAGAGGCGGTGTTAGTCCCAGAGCCGCGATATACCCATTGCCACTCCAGACATATGGATGTATATGGCGCCAGGGTCTATCCCATGACCACTTCAGGTTAGTCTAGAAAATTCTAGAAACATTGAGTTTAACCTCTTTCAGTTTTTTTCCACCCCTGTTCCGGTTAGAAAACACAGTTTAGCCATTTGTTTTCACCTGTTACATCCTGTTACTATACTTTAAATGTCTCGAAAAAAACCTCATCACCCACCAAGTTCGGTTTTCCCTGCAGGTCACTCCGGGGCCGTCCACCTCCTCCGCAGTCGTCGGTCGGACGCTTGGAACTGTGTCCGTCGCCTGCGGCGGTGGCCCACAGCCACGGAGGTCGAACTTCCGATTGGCGCTGCCACGCAGAAAGCCTCGGCCGGCGATGGTGGCTGCTGTTTTTCGCGTTCTTTTTTGGTTCAGGTGTTTATCAGAAGTCTACAAACTTTCTAGTAGTACTAGTACTCATGCATGTCATGTAGTTCATTGTAGTTCCACACCTTCGAAAGAAGGAAGCTGAGACTCCCATGCTATTTAAATCAATGGTGGGGTCCGAGTCAGGAATCCTAAAGTGATTTCCTACGCTTCCCCCGTCTCCTGACCATAGCTCTCCCATCACAACCATCTCGCGTGCCGAGCCGCGGTCGCGCGACCAGAGCTCTCGCAGTTGCGCGCCACGGGCGACCTGCTTCGCGCCACGCACGCCGGGGGGAAGGTTAGGATAGGCGGGTTCATATATCGGTTTCCTTTGGAAGTGCCATGCATGGCAAACACCTGTATACCAAAGTAAGAACATTGTCATTCACAAAATCTATAACTGCTTGCCAAAAACCAGCTGGGGTGGAAAGTGGGGTGGAAAAAGAAAACAACAAGAACATCAAAAAACAAAATAACAAAGCCGATGAAGCACCTGCCATGTTCTTTTCCCTTCTCCCAGAACTTGCAGGTCATCACAAATGTGTAAGACTGATGGAACGTCCACCCTCTCTGGAGATTGGCAACTGGTGCTCATAGATTAAAATACTATACATATATGGATTGGAGGCCAATCCACAAGACAACTCTAAAATAATTGAAAGCTTGGTTCAGTGTTTCTTCCCCTTCTTGACTGATGAGCCTCCCCAAAACAACATCTGAAAACAATATTGAAAACACACACACACACCCTTCAACCTCATCCAACAAAACCTCGCCACCCGCAACCAACTTCCCAAGCCGCCCAAAAAAGGCTCCCTCTCCGGACACCGGGCTCCGAAACCCACAAACCGGACACCCACTTCCAGAGGTTGAAGGAACCGAACTAGCCTATCCCAGTTCGGTACCCCAGATGACGAGTCCGAACGTTCCAGGTCACTGGAGACCTCTCCGGACGCCCGGGCTCGTCCCTTTCTCCGCCGCGCCCGGGCGTCCCGAACGGGGTCGCTCTTCCGGCGGCGCGAGGGACTGGGGGCGGTGCGGCGAGGGCGGTGCGGACGGGACTGGAGCCACTCGCCACCAAGCCAGGAACGGGTGGGAAGGTTTGGAGCATCCAGATCCTATGGTTTTTGGAAGCAGAACATGCTGTGGTACAGGTGGGGTAAAGCATGGGTAAAGCGACAGGCAATCATCTAATCATCTACTATTGCAATGGTTGAGGGCAAGGTTTGGGTCAATTGGGTAAAGCACCATGTATATTCTGTTTCAAGGGTATGCCTCGTCAGACGGGAAGCATCTGACAGCCACAAATGGGAACAGCAATGTTATGACTTCTATCATCTTCTATCTAGCATGGCGAAATGCATCTTGAAATAGATAATGTCTTGCTTAGGTAGATCAGTATATCACAGTAGATCCGATAGTGTACGAACATCCGAAGTGAGGACCCTGGCCGCCTGGCCGGAACGAATTGAAAGCATGATCTCCGATGGTTGGTACGGTGCGTTGAGCCACCAGAGTGAGCTGTCCTGCTCCCGTCAGTGAGCTGTCATAGACTTGTTTGAAACCAAACCCGGATTGAACATGTTGGTGACAAAATCCTGCATTTTGCACGACCACGCGTCCTCAAAGGCCACTGCTTCTTCGAAATACACCATGTTAACATCCATTTTTCCATGTTCCATTTAGAGACGTGCCATGATAGCTGGCACTTGGACAGCTATATAGCCGGGCTACGTCCGACAAACCTGTTGTATTGACGGGACAAGACAATACACCTTGGGATCACGACGGTCTCCCCATTGGCTGGCTCGGTCCAACCTTCCTTGACCCGGCGCCCGACGACGTAGGGCCGAGAGGCGTCATCCAGGAGTGGCCCTGGACACCGGCGGGCCACAACGGGAAGATGTTGGCAGGGTAACTGGTGGGAGATTGGGGAAAGAACTGCCTCTCATGGTGGTGAAAACTTGGGGAAGAGGAAGAGTTTTGAGTTTTGGAATTTTATATCTACCCCGACCCCACCCACCCACCCCATGTTAATCACACGACTCATCGATGACAATGTTGTGATGTCAATATACACAGCGGCCAAATGCGTTGGGGTCTTATATGGTCTTAACCCGCCTGCATAATATATAGACCCAATGGTGAGAATGTCTTCGTGAAGTACCAACGTCAAACAAGAAAACACACGAAACGCCACGGCGGTCTACAAGCCGTGGTCCAACTACTGTACATCAAACCTCTGCAAGGACAAAAGAAAAAGTGTGAACATGTAACATAGTGTAACATGTGTGTGTGTACATTCAGAGGGAAAAGTGCCTATAAACATGCCTAAACCCTAAACCCTACTGGCCTGACTGCGGGTTGGAATGCTTGTATCTGGGGTCTACAGTGTATAATAGGTCAAGATGCCAGTCCCCCAGCTGATTCAATAAGTGATCTTTTACAGGTCGAAGTGACCGAACTTCACGCGGGGATGAAGTTCGGTCACTTTGAAGAAGCAATTGCGCCCGGATCTTCTGCGGATGGACAGCTGTACGTCCACGTTCACTCGGTTCACTTGGAGGCTTCGACCCTCAGAATGTCTGGCCTCCTTTTCCCCTTCTCTCCGAGGGATCCCACTTGCCGGTGTTTTCTCCTCAACAAATCGATGGAGTCCGGGTCTCTGTTTCGAGTCCGAGTCGAACTTCCCTTGAGCGAGATCTGATGGCTCCATCGGCTCGGGTGACCCAACGGTCTCTGGCACCAAATGCTCCCACCCAGACACTCCATGGGACTGCCATAGGACTGCCGATCAGTTGGGGTGGTTTGAGGCAGTCCCAGACAGGTCGTGTTTGGGTGTATGAGATCAGGCTGCGCCCACAGGTGGGTCCCACCATCCCAAAGTCTGAGCTTCCCCGGCGGAGCGCAAACGCGAGGGATACCTGGTAGCCAACATGGGATGGTGGTTGAAAGCGGTTTTTGGGGAGTTGGGAAGGGTCTTTTTGGATGGTAAGGGTGTCATTTCTGGGAACTGTCGTGCTGATGGCGGGCGGTTTCCGAGCAACTTGTGACTTGTGTTTTCTTGGAAATGGGGTGTGGGAGCTGCTTGCTGAAAAAAACTGGCACTTGGTGGAGGGATCTCACTGCACTTCTGTCATGGCACCGTTAAAAACGATAAGAAGATTCACAGACCATGATGTTGATTTCAACTCGTCGTCCACACAGGGTGCATTTCCTCCACTTGCGGTTCGCGACGGTTGAGCACCCACCAATTTTCTGCGTCACATGGCTCTCATACACCCAGACACGACCTGTCTGGGACTGCTATGCCAATCAATTGACCCCTTCTGGCATCACCACCCCAGGTCGTGTCTGGGGTAGTTCATCTACCTTCAACAACATCAGCACCGGTGAGTTCACGCGCTCTGGGACTCCCGTCATTCCCAAGTCATCCAGGTCATCTCTGCCGCGGATGCGACTGGCGGGTCCGGGCGGTCGGGTCGCAGGATCAGGATGAAAGCAACACAAACAACACATCGAACACATTTTCCATTTCCATTTCCATGTGCGACCAGTGCAGTTAAGCGCGCCGCCTAGCATACAAATTCTGAATTAAACCGCGCCCACATAATCCGGCCCATGAGTCTCATGCTCATATGTGGTGACCGATAGGGATCGCAGCCAGCTGTAGTCATCGGGAGCCTTTCCTAATTCTTCGACTAGGGGCTTCAACCGATGGAAAAACAGCTGTGCTATCATGGCGCAGAGTTGCGGTGTATATTAATTGCTGTTTTGAAAGAAACACCATCACGTCCGATGGAAGAAACCTTCGGTCGTTCCGACGTTCTACAGCGAAATTCTATGTCACAGGCCACCTCAGAAGTCACGCCGCTCAGTAGAAACCTTGTAGGTTTCGGGCTTGTCTGGTGATAAAAGCCTTGCTCTAGCCTCAACTCGACAAACAGGCCTGTTTGCCTCAGCCATTCAAGCAATACAGTTTTCCAGATGCTCGGTGACATTCTTTTACTAGGATTGTAGAGGCCAGGGTCATCTGGGTGCTCAAGCAACGAAAATTTGCCTTGCGAGGCCTGCACAATGCAGATCTGCAGTGCAAACAGCATCAATCTGTTGCCTACATCCAGTTGCTGAAACTCCCTTGTGGTAAGATCCAGCAGTCCCCACGGCGCCTCTGCTGTTCTTAGAGGTCTTGGCCCTTTTTGTGGTGACATGCCGTCGGCCTCTCTGGCAACTGACCATGTTTCGCAGGGTGGTCCTGCCAAAACACCTTCAGCCAGTCCAGAGCGAGCCAGTCGGAGCCACAGCTGTTGTGTGTCTTCCTGAAGCAAGTTGCAATACGTACTGGAAACCATCACATCAACGGAAAGCACCCAAAGAGTAGTCCCCGGTTCTGCTTCCAGAGCTTCTAATGCATCTTGCAAGTCACCTTTTCTTCCGCTAAACAGATGGAAGAAAAACCTTTCTTTGAAAGTCTTGCTCGGTCTGGCAAACGGAATTCGGCTACATGTGAGAATTCCCCTATCCTGTTCATTTTCAGCACTCCAATCGCTTCATGACAATGCCCTTTAAGGCTACAAATTCCCGAAGGATCTTTTGGCCTACACGCACAAGGACCGGATCAGCATGTGGACCGAAGTCTTGTAACCATTGGTCGAAGATCATGACAATGTCGGGAAATGGCATGGGCCTAGTACACACTTCTCTCAGCCGATCGTACAGATCTGCCTCGAAATGCGGATGATCTACCGGGACAACGAATCCTCAATGCAATATCGAGATCTCGTTTCAGATACTCATCGTCGCGGAGTTATCATCATGGTAGATTGCCGCATGTTCTTGGTATGTCCATGGCATAAGGATATGCGCTCCTGCCTCACTGGAAGCGCATGGTCTATTGGCCTTCCATGCGAAATTGCGACAAACAGCATTGGAGATGGTGCTTTAGTTTCTCTCTGCAAAAATATTCTTTCGCACAGACAGGACAAGAGGTGCCTTGGGCAGCTTGTCCCGCCATAGAGAGGTCTGAGTGCTTGTGGTACGAGTGCAAGAACCAGGCACGTTTGTTCTGGAAAGCTTGTTACATGTTCACGAGGCCGGCGTTCATAGCCCTCTCGATGTAGTCTGTCACCTGCTGCTGCTCCTCCTCAGAGAGGGCCGCCACCTCGGTCTCGGACATGCCGATGATCTGCTCCCAGGTCATCCCCAACGGGATGGTGCCCAAGGACGGGGGCCCCATCTCCGGGATGGAGGGGGCCGAGGCCGCCGCGGAGGAGGCCTGCGTCCTGCGGCCGAAGAGGCCCGCGAGGCCGGACGCCAAGGTGGCGACCCCGGAGGACTGAGCGCCGGTCTGGGTCGTGCGGCCAAAGGCCGCCTCGATCGCTGGGTCCAGCTTGGCATTGGACATGTCCACTGGCACGGTCGGGAGCTTCTCGAAGTCGAAGATCGAGTTCGCCTCCGGATGTAGTTCCCGACCCTCTGGCTGCTGCAGCTCTTGATGGTCGCCAGGAGCTTCTGGGAGATCCCCTCGAAGTAGTCAGACGGAGGTCGGTCCTGCCTCTGATACAACTTCATCTCCGAGTCGCTGATCATCTGGCTCCACTCGATGGGCTTCATCGCCCCGTACTTGTCCTCAAACTTCTGCTGGAAGATGGCCTGGTTCCAGGTCCCGGATTGACGTGTGTTCTTGTGGAGGACCACCGTCTCCCAGAAGCACCTATCGCAGGCCTCGATGAAGGACTTCGCCGCCTGCGACCAGTGGAGCTGGGACATCTCCGGCGCCACCATCGCCATCGGGAGCCAGCCCGTGTTGGTCCTGATCCCTTCCCTGATCAGCGACGGGTTGCTCACTGGCCATCATCGCCAACTCCGGCACGCCGGCCGTGAACGAGGCGACGGAGATCATCTGGCTGGACTCCTTGGACCTCGAGAAGGCCGCGTCCGCCCCCTCGGTCTTCTTCTGTGCCAGCCCCTTCGCCAACCTGAGCGCCCTCGTCTTGTCCTTCGTGAGGGACAAGATGGAGTGAGTGAGGGAGTGAGTGAGTGAGTGGAGTGAGTGGAGTGAGTGGAGTGAGTGGAGTGAGTGG